TGAAGAAGGGCGACATTCAATTGGGGCTTCAACGCAAGTCGCGTAAGGATGGCACTCTGATCAGATTTGGCTGTTTTACGATACGCGACAGGAAGGCAGATCACGACCTCTAGCAAGGCGGACGTATTCGATTCACCGGCCACCGAAAGAAGAGGAAGCTGCCCAGGCCGTGACGTTCGTTAACCGATGGTTCGACCACGCGTGTGTTTCACTACACCACAATTGGCGTGATAGTGACTACGCATTCCCAGGCCTGACAAAAATCCCGCGAGGATAAGGAAAGCGAAAACGCGGCGAGGAAGCAACTGCAACGACAGGTTCCATCCGTAAGGTTGAACTAAAGTGTGGGGGGGGGGGTGAGTTTGTTCAGGCAAGGTTTGATGGGGATACGGATCGCTTTGAAACCGAGTTTAGCTGTCTGATATCGGGCGATATGACAGTAAACAAAATCCTCGCGGCGATCCCAGCTCAGAAGCGTAAGTAATTTGGATACGTCATACGTATTTATCGTCCCCAACTGTACTGTAGGTCATCTTCAAGTTTACTCGCTGTCGGCCCCAAGTGTACTGTACGTCGTCCCCAAATGTACTGAATGTCGTTCCCAACTGTACTATCGTTCCGAATTGTACTCTTGTCGGTCCCAACCCTACTCTACGTCTGTCCTATTGTACTCAAACTGTAAGTTAAGTCGACTCGAAATGTACTTTAAGTCGTCACCAATTGTACTTTACGTGTACTCTATACCGCAATCCACCCCAATTGTACTATGTGTCGACCCCAATTGTACTATGTGTCATGTCTCTGTTGTATCCCCCGTATACTCAATATTTACGTGACGATACACAAATTAAAGCTACAATCAATTTCATCCAAAACATGTATATTTTTCGTTTATGCATCTTTTCCTGGTTTTCGCTTCGACACTGCCTATTCTTCACCTGGAGTATAGTCGTCGATTTCGCTGTCGACTAGAGCATTTGCAGGTGCATCGTCATCACTGACTTGTAGCAGTCGCTCCAACAGTTCTGGCTCTTCAACTTGTCCTGGCTCTTCGCTCTGTTCTGGATCTTCAACCAATCCATCACGCTCACGACCGTTGCGCATGTTGCGATGCCATGCCGCATCTCTCTCCCGGCGCACCTGATCCATCTGATTGCGATGCTCGATTCGATCTGCATACGTCCGGCAACGGGAGATCGCTGATGACGCGTGAGGTGGTGGCGATTCCCGCGGACCCTCTGCCAACACACTGGGCATAGTTGCCTGGGCCTAGTGGATGTTCCTCTACATGATCCTTGCTAGTGGCGTCGTAAGTGACACGAGCGAGAGAACACGTAGTGGCATACGTTGCAAGTGCGCTAGGCATCAGTTTCCCCGTTTAGAAGCTCTGAAGTATTCATTCTCTAAAACAAAACAATAAGTAAACGTATTAATAAATTTCATCCAAAAGCGTAATTTATTTAATGCAGCCGTCGCACATGCGATTCCAGGTCGTCGCACTGGTGCAGCAGAGCGCTTCGGGGATGATTCGATAATGAATTGCTTTTATTTTCCTT